ATATATATATATATATATATATATATTATTTTTTATTCATTTATAAAATGTATATTTGATTGATGAAAAACGATGATATTATTATTTTGATAAATATTTGGATCGTCTATGGCATTCTTAGATCATGGAAATAAAATTTTGAATTTTTTATTTTTTCATTTTCTTTGTATATCACTTCAATCTAATCTACATGTGCACAATCCAAAATGTGTAAATAATTTGGTTATCTATAAATTGTGTGGACTTTATTATTTTTTTGGTTTAATTAAGTTTTTTTTTAATTTTCATAGTTTCATAAATTTTACTTTTTAGTTCTTATATTTAAAAATAGTACTTTTTAGTCTTCATAATACTATTATTGTTTCCTTTTAGTTCATATAAAAATAGGCAACAAAGACTAAAAAAAATAAGATGATATTTATAAGAATTAAAATGAAATATTTTAACAATATATAAAATATTAAAAGATAAAATTTATAAAACTATATGATTAAAAGGGTAATTAAACTTTTATTTTTATATATATTACATATAACATCACAAAACTACAGATTTCCCCCTTCAAAACAGTTAACAAAGGTTAGTTATACGATGAAATAAAGTAAAAATAACAAAAACGAAAAAAAAAATATTTGTAAAAGATTAGGCAATAGGTACGTATAGTTGTTGTTCTAGTTAATTAATATGTATCCATTCGTGTGATATATATTTTACTAATATGATTTTTGTGACGACGCTTGACATATTGTTGATTACGTATTACATTCATATGCATGATGCATGTATAAGTGTCTTTCTTTTTTCAATAAATTGTATACATGATATACGTATATATGCGTACGAAATTCAAAATAGGGATCAGCAATGAGGAAATAAATTTTGTTTTATTATTACAGATACGAGTGCCAGCATGGACAGATCGTATATTGTTCAAAATAGAAGACGACAATAACATGGAAGCAACCCTACATTCGTACGAGTCTATGGATGAAATCTACGGTTCTGATCATAAACCAGTAAAAGCACATCTCTGCTTAAGACTTCGTCAAATTCCAACAAAACCAAGTTGTAATGAACAAACCTAGCTATACGTGGAACTTTTACTTTTATTTTTGTAATTTTAGTTGTTTAATTTTATAATATCTACAAATTTGTTCCTCTAATTAAATGTGTATTTGTTGATAGTTAAAATTATAACATTAATCATAATATAAGATTAAATAGATGATATAATAATTAATATTTAAAATTATTTAGATTAAATTTTAATTTCAATTCTCGTAAAATAATAAAATGAGATAAAATTAAAAAAATAAAAATTAAAAGTAAAATTTAGTCTAAATAATATAATATATTAATTATCATGTTATTTATTTAATATTAAATCATAATAAATATTATAATTTTAACAATTAAATAATGTATACATAGTGAAATAACCATCATTATAGATTTTATAAAATTGAAAGATTAAAATTATAAAATTAAAAATAGTATATCAAAATTATAAATTTGATTTACAGAGACTTAAAATTGTAATTTAGCACGACATATATAAATATATATATATATATAAGAAAGAAGGAAAAGCGGAAAGAAAAGTGGGAATTTGTAGGTTTGTGGATTGTGAAATTGGGCGTATATGGACACATATGTCTTGTGGTCGGTTTATTGAGTATTGACTTTGCGGGGTGTTGTGATTGGTTGAGCAATTACCTTGGATTAGTTCCAACTAAAGCCACCAATGTTGAAATTGAACATCACCTATTATAGCCGACCTTTTCTTTTTTATTGTTTCTTTTTGGAATTTTTAAACAGATGATTTATTTTTATGACCATAATATTCTAGGGTTAAAGAATTTCTTGTTTGTTCTTAGTAAATATACCATTATTGATGTTTGTTATGGATCGAATTGAACTTTGGAGCCGTATAAATAAAGAAAATAAACATTGAGGAAATTTTCTTAACTATACTCATAAAATCATATTATATATTCAACTAAATTTATGTAGCAAAGTATTAAATAATTATTTGTTTTTTAAAAATTAATAAAATTAAAAGTTAACATATATAAATTTTTCTAATTTAATAGTTAGGTTATTAAAATTTATATATATAGAGAGGGTAAGTTATAATAATACCGGTATAACTTTTATTTAGTATTATATTGCTCAATAAATTTATTTTAAATGTAAATTTTGTAAATTCAACCGTTAGATTGAAAGTTCTTTACTATTAGATCATATATATAAATTTTATATTAATTTAAGATAATTTAATACTTCATTATTATAAAACAAAATTAATGTAATATATACATTTCAAAATATACTAAAATATGAATACTTTGACTATATTAAAGTTGTTAGTCAATTTTAACAAAACTTAATATAAATATATAAAGTAATATGAATTTTTAATCTAACAGTTAAATTTACAAAATTCACATTTAATATAAAATTTTTGAACAATATAATATTTAGTAAAAGTTATACTAATATTATTATAATTTTCATTAAACGGTGTAATATTTAGTAAAAATTATATTAATATTATTATAACCTTCCTTTTATTTATATATATATATATTCTTGGAATATAAGTTTACCCTTCTAGCCTTCTAGATTATTGGCGCTGAATGTAGGAAGTGGATATTGAGGATCTTAAAAAAATTCCTCGGGTAGGGATAAAAATAAGTCTAGTTAACTTAATAGGTAAGTTAGGCTGGACGCTTTTACTAAATAACTTTTACAAAGGTTCTTTCTCTAGTTAAAATGTTTTATGTCATTAAAAAAGCCTTTTTTTTTATTTATAAAAAAAGGCCTATTAAATCAACATATTGAAATAAACATAAAAATATATTATTAATTAGTAAATTTGAGATTATATATAACCTGAATTGTTTATATTAAATTTTATTAATATTAAAAAATTAATAAAATATAATCAAATAAATTATATTTTACCAATTCTAAATGTATATTATATTAATTTTGATGGTGAAATATTAAATGATTTTATATCACCAACATGTTGTTGGTCTAAAAATTATATTCAAATTTTGTTGATAAAAAATATAATTAAAAGATGAGACTTAAATAAAAGTGATAAGACAGATTTTTAACAGAAAACAGTCTTCGTGATGAATATTAATTTGATATTAATAACATAATTGTCAAAAATATAATAATTTTATATTATATAAAAATTTGTATGTCTATAATCTATGTGAAAAGAAACTTTCAACCTAAATTTCAAAATAAATTATCTAATTAAATTTATAAATAATCTTAATTGATTCGATAGAATATTTCTTAAATTCTTGAATCATATATCACTGGTCTTTTAAAATGCTAAGTGATCAACCTACTTTTTTGGATTATTCGGTGATTGATCAAAATCAATGGAGGGAATAATGGGTTTTATATTGAAAGGCCGAAGAAATAGTGCCCAAATTTGTGAGATCACGACGCTGGAATTTTAATCCACTAAAGTAATCATCCTCCCTTTTTGACTTTTGGGTGGTCGATATAATGAATAAAAGAAAAAATGATGTTTTTTTTTTATCTTTTTTTATTCAAAGGCAAAGGGAACAAAGATAAATGGAGGAAAGGCACAGGCATTTGGTGATTGCAGTGTTGATTTGGATATCGAAGAGGGAGGAGCTTACTTATATATAATTATTCATTTTGGGGTCAATTGAGATTTAAGAGGTACTATATTTTTGGGGTAGGGAGTTGACTTAGTTAGAAGCTACTTAACCATCTTGTGGGCATTACATAAAGTTTTTACATGGATCATATATGAATTATCAATATTTAATGTTATATAATTATTTAAAAATATCTCATCAATTGTATTTTTTTTAAGAGTTTAATGATGATTATCATATATTATTGTAAATTGTTTTTACACAACTAATCAATTATAAATTACAACCTGTATTATTTTTAAAATAATTAATATAAAAATAATAATTTTATAATTTATAATGAATTGTAATTAAATTATAATGTAAAACTATTTTTACAATGTTGGTATCACCATTAAACTTTATCTTTTATTCTTTGACATTTGTTAGACTTGATCAAGTCCAAAAAGCTCAAATTGTGAGTTACATGAATTGGTCTCTTTTCACCCAAATAGGCCCTCAGGTTGAAATGAATTTGAAGTCTGATCGAGTATGCTTAATTTTATTAGATAGGGATAATTATTATACTAATAGATTAATAACATATGGCGGAGACAAAGTTTATTATTATTTTTAACAACTTTAATTTGAGTAAAATGTCTGTTTAGTTTCTAACTGTGAGGTGTTATCATGTAACTTATTGTTATTATAATTTTTAAAATTTGTAGTTTGAACCCAAATTGCTCAAGCAGCTAAAATAATTTTACTAAGCTACATTATTCATTTAATAAATAGATAACAAATTTTATTTATATATCATATATTTCGCACATAAATTTTACATCTAAATTATTTATATTTAGTGAAAAAAAAAATATTTTTAATATTAAATACACCACATCCACATGAACCTCATTAATGAAAATTTACCATTATTATTTCTGAGTTTTTCTTTGAAAGAACAAACATAGATCTTATTCATAATATAATTAAAATCTCATTCTCTTAATAATTTTAATATATAAATGATCTTATGACATATCACATACTTGCTTCTAGGTAATCAAATTAATTAAAGATGTTATTTTTATAGGAGGTATCTACTCTTAAAGTCACATTTTTAGAGAAGCAAATCAAGTAGTGATGCTCTAGTCAAATATGGTTTATCAATTAAAGGGATGGTAGAAATTTGTTATGTTTGTTCTAATTTTATCAATTCTTAGATATTTAATTGAAAATATAAATTTCCTCGTAGAGTTACATTTATTTCTACACACACAAATATGTGCTAAACAAAAACTCAAAAACATAAATCGTAGGGCCAATTTAAGAATCTATACAAGTTGCATCATAATAGCACCAAAACAAAAGCCATCATTAGAAAATGACCACCAAAGCCTCCAAGCACGCCGACCACCTAATCCTAACATATTCTCCCGTCAAGTATGATAATTGCAATCCAACATATGGAAACAAAAGGGCAAACTTATATACAAGGTATTAACAAATAAAGGAAAGCTTCAAAGTTAACCATTCTAACTTTAAACAACTTCAACATGATTCAATATTTAACATTCAACTTTTAAAATAACTTAAACTTCAAACTGTTGGACCTCTATGATGAATATAATAAAATATTCATTACTTGGTCATTGGTCTTTGATACAAATTATAGAATAAAAATAAATAATATAAAGTATAATGTAGAAACATACCTCCACTTTTAACCATTATTATTACAAAAAAAAAAATGCAAATATTAGAGAATTTTTTATAGAAAGAATAGAGAAGTCTTATAGTCTTTGCCTTTTTTAAATGTGTGAATCAATGGAACATCACAAGCTTTATATAGGAAAAGCCACAGACCCCTTCATAAAGTCATAAATGTAACTGCTCTTTAATTTGGCTCCTCTATTAAAAACCAATAATGCAGAAATCTGAAACTTATAACAATTATATCAATTCTGATTATGAACTACTTAATTGTTATATTCTGACATTCTCCCACTTGGCTCATATATTATTAATGACAATCAAGTATGGTCATGACATGTCAACTTAAACATGATATTGGCACCAAAAAAAAAATCACACATGAATCATGGCAGTTATATTTCAGATTAAACATTTCCTTCCATGTATTACAATGTGTAACCTTTTCTTAGTGAAATATAGGGTCCTAACTTTATTGATTCAATATGAATTCATTCATGACTAATCTTAATGTGCACAAAGTCATAAAATCAAAAAAGACAAATTTTAATGTAAACCTTTGAATGTATGATCCTAAAATATTGTAGCTAACAATCTTATACTAGAACATTGATTCTACAACAATATACTCAATAGAGATTAACTTTTTTTTAAGCCTACTTTATGTCAATTTGTTTTTCTTGACTTTCACCTTTAATATTCTTTAATACTTAGCCGAGAGTTCTTAATTGATTTTTAATAGAATTGACAACTTTAAAATAAAAAACATTATGCATGTGATATAATCTCATAGCATCCAATAAATA